ATTACTTTTAGATAGGCTTTTAGATCCCAGGGTTTTTTGTTTTGTTTTGTTTTTTTATTGCAAAGGGACTTTTTGTGGGATGGGCTAAAACAAGTCATCTTGGCAAGCTTTATTTTTTATTCTTTTTATTTATTCATTCCTTAAACATTTATTGAGCACTTCACTTTGCATACTGCAACCTTTTGTAGGTCTTCATTACCACCTTGGTAAATGTTGAAAGTGAATTCTGCTTCCTAATGGACATTTGATGCACTTCATGGAATGCTCCAATGACATGGTTTTAATATATATTTCAATAGAATGCTGTAGGTATTTTACATTTTCCTTAACATGATAATTCTGATTGAGAAGTTCTTGTCTCTGGGTGGTTGTAAAATAGATTCTTCAGTTTTGTTTTATTTTTTTTTATATTTTAAGTATTTTCTACCATAAGTATATATTACTTTTATAATGATAAAAAAATAATTTTAAACAAATAATTTGGTAGTAGAAAATATAGCCCAGCCAGGTGTGGCTCAGTAGTTGAGCATCGACCCAGGAACCAAGAAGTTACCAGTTCAATTCCTGGTCAGGGCAGATGTCTGAGTTGTAGGCTCAGTCCCTAGTAGGGGGTGTGCAGGAGGCAACCAATCGATGATTCTCTCTCATCATTGATGTTTTTATCTCTCTCTTCCTCTCCCTTCCTCTCTGAAATAAATAAAAAATACTTTTAAACAAGAAAATATAAAGTTGAGGTATCCAACAGCTAATGTTACTCTTGTATTTATTCCTAGTTTTAGACTGTTTTTGAAATGGCATACTTAATAGCACTGAAAAGCCAAGTAAAATGAAATCCCATCCCATTTCTCCAAATTTCTCCTCTAATGGAAATTGTGATGATTTTCTTAGAGTTCATGTTATTCTTACACTTACCAGTATTATAGCAGTGGGGAAAATCACAACTGGACATCTTCCCTATAAGCCAGTATAATAACTATTTAAGAGCCATGGGCTTGCCCAATTTACCCATAGTAAATTAGAAAAAGCTTTTTAGAAGCAATCAGTGGTAGCTAGCTGTCCCTAAGCCTACCTTGGAGTATATTGGCAATTAAATATGTTTTCTTTCTTTTACCTTAAGTGCTTTGACTTTTAGTAGAGTAGTAGAATTGCTTTAAGGTACTTACTGGAGACTTTTAAATATGATTAACATGTTTGGAAATGTCCTTATTAGGACATTTAATAAATTTTTGTCATGTACCTCAAAAATGATCAGAATGGAAACTCTTGAAGTGCATGTGTTAATGGGCACCTGAGAATATGTATTAATCCACCCAAGATAATTACATCTAATTTATCTTGTAGTTGAGTGATTATCAGTGAGGAAGTGAGGAATCTAAAGAGAGCCTCCATCACATTGTCTTAGTCTTATAGCAAAATCTTTCTTTTCTTTTGAGCAGCCTTGTTACACGGGTAATATCAGTTATTGCAATAGAATTGCTACATGTAAGCCAATTTGTTTTTACCATCAAAACTGTTTAAACTTACTGTAATTTATTGTGGTTTATGTATATGTCAGAGCACTAGATTTCATGCTAACAGATCAGAATTTTCACAGCCAAACTAGTACATCATTTGTGGGTTTTTAAAGATTATTACAATAAATATATTTTTTAATTCATCTGCTAATTTTCCCTCTTCCGATTTCCAATCAAGTTAATTTTTTAGTGTTTGTTCCTACAAGTAATTATGATACAATGTCTTCTCTTTTTGTATTATGACATAATTTTAAAAGAAATACTTAATTTTGAAGGAATTTGAGAATTAGAGAAAAAAATAAATCACTTAGAAACTTCTCACACAGAATAACAATTTTTATTAGTATTTTGATATATCTATTATTTAGTATTTGATAAGCTTATACATAGACTGTTTTCTATAAAATTGGGATTATATTATATATACTAGTTTATATCCTTCCTTTTCTCTTTTATTATTATATTATACTAGAGGCCCGGTGCATGAAATTTGTGCATGGGGGACGGGGGGAGGAATCCCCTCAGCCCAGCCTGAACCCTCTCCAATCTTGGACCCCTCAGGGTTTGTCCTGGGGATCAAAATTAAACCGACAGTCAGACATTCCTCTCACAATCCAGGACCACTGGCTCCTAACTGCTCACTTGCCTGCCCACCTGATCTCCCCTAACTGTCCCCCCTGCCAGCCTGGTTGCCCCCAACTGCTCCCTCCGCCAGCCTAGTCACCACTAACTGCCTCCCTGGCCTGGTCACCCCTTACTCCCCCCCTGTTGGCCTGGTCACCCTATGCAGCCTGCTTCTTGGTTGTTTGGTTGTTTCTCACTGACCCCCTGCTGGCCTGGTCACCCCACACAACCTGCTGCTCAGTTGTTTGGTCAATTCTCACTAACCCCCATGCTGGCCTGATTGCCCACCCAGCCTGCTCAGTCATTTGGTTGCCCCTCACTGACCTCCCCTCCTGGCCTGGTCACCCCCAACTTCCCCCCCACACACACACAGGCCTGGTCACCCCACACAGCCTGCTGCTCAGTAATTTGGTCGCCCCTCATTAACCCCCCTTCTGGCCTGGGTGCCCCACACAGCCTGCTGCTCAGTCATTTGGTCACTCCTCACTAACCGCCCTGCCAGCCTGGTTGCACCACAAAACCTGTTGGGTTGTTCGTTTGGTTGTTTCAGATGCAATTGTCACTTGGCCTTTTATATATAGAGACTGTAAGCATTTCTCATATCTTAAAATTTTCAATAATATTTTGTTGGAGTATTATATTTAATTAAATGTGATAACTATTTTCAGTCAGCATTTATGTGTGTCTTTTTTGCTGACAATGTTCTTTTTAAAGCTTAATATATGTACTTAAGACTCGTCTCTAACAAATCCTCCATATAAACTTTAAATCTCTTGTGATATCTCTTCTTTATTTTTAATTTTTTAAAATTCTTTATTGTTAAAAATATTACATATGTCCCCTTTCCCCCCCATTGTCCTCTCATGGCTTGTACTCACCAACCAGCCCTGGCCTTCACTGCCCCATTGTTTGCATCCATCAATTATGCTTATATGCATATAAGTTTCTTGGTTGATCTCCTATCCTCCCATATACTCCCTGCCCACCCTCCCCTGCCTTCCCTCTGAGGTTTGACTGTTCAATGATTCTGTGGCTCTGGATCTATATTTGTTCATCAGTTTATGTTGTTCATTATGTTCCACAAATGAATGTGCTCATGTGATGCTTATCATTCTCTGACTGGCTTATTTTGCTTAGCATAATGCCCTCCAGATCCATCCATACTATTGCAAATAGTAAGAGTGCTTTCTTTTTTACAGCAGCGTAGTATGGCATTGTGTAGATATAGCAAAGGTTTTTATTTTATTTTAAAAAATATATTTATTGATTTTTTTTTCCAGAGAGGAAGGGAGAGGGTTAGAGTTAGAAACATCGATGAGAGAAAAACATCAATCAGCTTTCTCTTGCACACCTCCTACTGGGTATGTGCCCACAACCAAGGTACATGCCCTTGACCAGAATCGAACCTGGTGCCTTTTAGTCCCCAGGCCGATGCTCTATCCACTGAGCCAAACCGGTAAGGGCATAGCAAAGGTTTTTAATCCACTCATCTGCTGATGGGCACTTAGGCTGTTTCCAAATTTTAGCTATGGTAAATTGTGCTGCTATGAACATTAGGGGTGCATATGTTCTTTCTGATTGGTGTTTCTAGTTTCTTGGGATATATTCCTAGAAGTGATATTACTGGGTCAAATGGGAGTTCCATTTTTAGTTTTTTTGAGGAAACTCCATACTGTTCTCCACAGTGGCTGCACCGGTCTGCATTCACACCAGCAGTGCATGAGGGTTCACTTTTCTCTGCATCCTCGCCAGCACCTGTCATTTGTTGATTTGTTGATGATAGCCATTCTGACAGGTGTGAGATGGTACCTCATTATTGTTTTGATTTGCATCTCTCAGATGATTAGTGACTTTGAGCATGTTTTCATATGTCTCTTGGCCTTCTGTATGTCCACTTTTGAAAAGTGTCTATTTAAGTCCTTTGCCCATTTTTTGATTGGATTGTTTGCCTTCCTTGTGTTAGGTTTTATGGGTTCCCTATGATTTTAAAGATTAAACCCTTATCAGATATAACATTGGCAAATATGTTCTCCCATGCAGTGGGCTTTCCTGTTGTTCTGTTGATGATTTCTTTTGCTGTGCAAAAGCTTTCTATTTTGATGTAGTCCTATTTGTTTATTTTCACTTTAGTTTCCATTGTCTTAGGAGATGTGTCAGTAAACATACTGCTATGAGATATGTCTTCTATTTTGCTGCCCATCGAGTTTTCTACGATTTTTATGGTTCATCATGTTACATTTAAGTCTTTTATCCATTTTGAGTTTATTTTTGTATATGGTGTAAGTTGGTGGTCAAGTTTCAATTTTTTTGCATGTATCTGTCCAATTTTCCCAATACCATTTATTGCCTCCATTGTATGCCTTTGCCTCCTTTGTCAAATATTAATTGAGCATGGTGGTTTGGGTTGATTTCTGGGTTCTCTGTTCTGTTCGATTGGTCTATATATCTGTTCTTGTGCCAGTACCAGGCTGTTTTCAGAACAGTGGCTTTGTAATATATCGATAACTTGATGTCTGACAACTCTTCTTTTTCATCTGTTGAGAATATCCAAGTCTTTGTAAAGAAGGTTATAATAGGAACAGAAAGAGCAGAGAGAAAATTGAAGTAGTGATAGGAAATAACCTATCATTAATAAATTAGGAGGTTTTTTTTTTACAATCTGTGACTTTGAATGAAGGTATAATAATGGCAAAATCTGTAATGACTGAATAAAAATAATTTTATTTTCTCCTTTTAAAAATACATTTTTGGCATTATCAAGAAAGAAAATGTTAATATCTTGCTACTAAGAGAAAGTCTGTTTAAAGTATATCTTTCCTACCTTTTGTCAGTCTTCTCATCTCACTCTTTGTCTTTCTAAAGCCATGGGAATAAAGAAGAGTTCTCTTGCAGAGGAATACAACTAGCTGTGGATTGGTTTCTAGATAAAGGCCATAAAGATATTACTGTATTTGTGCCTGCATGGAGAAAGGAGCAATCCCGACCTGATGCACCAATTTCAGGTATGATTTTAAATAAGACATTTTTTTTTCTCATCCAAAGCAAAGCAGCAAGATAGGTTAGAGAGATGTTGATGGTCCCAATTTAGATAATTATTTTTATAAGTTTATTAAGTATACTTAAAATATATTTTATTAAGTATATTTTAAGAATATTTTTCCAGAGATTAAAAGTGGTGGAAAATTAAATGGATGCTGCACGGATATGCTCCCAGGAACAAATTGGTATTACAACTAAAATACAGAAAAATTTCCTGAATAATCAACAGAAAACTCGAAGGAGAGAACCTTCGGATTGAAAGTGAAGACTGCATAGAAACTGGTAGGAGGGGCAAAGCCTAAAAGGGTGGGCCAGGTGCTCACAGACAGCAACTGAAGTCCCAGAGAGATATCTCAGTTGTGGGGGGTTGCCATTGAAAATTCTAGGATCTGTCTACGGCCATACCACCCTGAACGCGCCCGATCTCGTCTGATCTTGGAAGCTAAGCAGGGTCGGGCCTGGTTAGTACTTGGATGGGAGAATTCTAGGATCTATTATCAAAGCTGGGCCCCCTAACATCGAGTACCAAAACTGAGGAGGTACCTACATAACAGATGGCTATGAAAAGCAGTGGAGTACTGTCTGCCAGAGAGTAATAGCTGAAAATTCAGGCACCCTCTTAAAGGGCCAACACACAAAATTCCCTGTGGAGCTACCCACCTTGTGCTCCAGCAGAGAGAGGGTGAAATGGACTAGAGCTGTGAGAGCAGAAGCCAGGACTGGGGATTCAGTCGATAGAGTTCAGAAAGAAGACACCCCAAGTTTCCTGGGCTGAGTCATTCCCTCATACAGCGGAGGATATCTTTCCCACATAGACATTTGCCTTGCAGTGGGCAGGGGGAGGGAAGACAATTGACACACCCTGTTGGAAAACACATTACCCTGAGGCTTTTTAAGAGACTAAAAATAAAAATTAGCCTCCAGGCAGAAGCAATTGTCCCACCATGTTGAAAAAACATTTCACCACACCTAAGGACTATTGCCTGGAAGGCAATTCAAGTCAGAATCCTAGCAGTCTGTAGGCAAAGGCAGTCTCTGGAGGTTTTAAATCTTTGTCTGCTCTAATTATTTAAAAAGCCTTTAACATTACCCTGTACTAGAGATTGAGAGGTGTAGGGAATCTACCTAAGACATAGTCACAAACCCAAATAGAAAGCCAAAATGAAGAGATAAAGAAACAACTCCAGCCGAAACCGGTTTGGCTCAGTGGATAGAGCATTGGCCTGCAGACTGAAAGGCCCTGGCTTTGATTCCGGTAAAGGGCATGTACCTTGGTTGCAGGCACATCCCCAGTGGAGGGGAAGAGGGGGTGCAGGAGGCAGCTGATCGATGTACCTCTCCTCATCGATGTTTCTAACTCTCTATCTCTCTCCCTTCCTCTCTGTAAAAAATCAATAAAATATATTTTTAAAAAAGAAAAAGAAAGAAACAACTCCAAATGAAATAACTGGAGAATTCTCTAGAAGAAGAGCTAAATGAAGCAGAGAGAAGAAATTTATCTGAAGTAGAGTTCAGAGTAATGATAGTAAAGATGCTCAACAGCATAAAAAAGATATAGTAACTATGAAAAAAAAAAAAAAAAAAAGAATAGTCCGAAAAAAAGAATGGCATAACACAAATAAAGAATACATAGCAGGTTAGGGAAAGGAATACACAGCAGATTAGGGGAAGCTGAGGTCTGAATCAGTGAATTAGAAGACAGAATTGAAAATATCACTCCATCCAAAAATCAAAAAGAAAAAACAATTAAAAAACAGAAGGACAGATTAAGGCAGCTGTGGGACATAACAATATTGGAATAGCAGGTGTGCCCAAAGAGGCAGAAAGGAGAAAGGCATAGAGAAGGTGTTTGAAGAAATAAAGGCAGAAAACTTCCCTAACTTGGTAAAGGAAAAAGTCACACAAGTTCAGGAAGCACAGAGAACCCCAAACAAGAGGAACCCCAAACAGGCCCATGCGAAGAAACATCATAATTAAAATGCCAAAAATTAAGGACAAAGAGCAAATCTTAAAGGCAGTAAGAGAAAAGAAAATTGTTAACTACAAAAGAGTTCCCATAAGGCTGACACCAGATTTCTCATCAGAAACTCTACAGGCCAGAAGACAATGGCATGAAGTACTCAAGGTAATGGAAAGCAAGGATCTGGGACCAAGATTACTATATCCAGCGAGGCTATCATTCAAAATAGATGGTCAATAAAGATCTTACAGAAGGGGGGAAAAAATAGGCTAAAGGAGTACATCACCACCAACCCAGCATTACAAGAAATGCTAAAGGGATTACTGTAATGAGAAGAAGAAACAGAGAAACCTAGTCATACAGAATTAAAATGGCAATAAATAAGTACCTATCAATAATAACTTTAAATGTAAATGGATTAAATGCACCAATCAAAAGGCATAGGGTAGCTGAATTGATACAAAAACATGACACAACTATATGCTGTCTACAAGAGACATGCCTCAAAACAAAAGATACACACAGGATGAGAGTAAAGGGATGGGAAAAAATTTTCCAAGAAAATGGAAATAAAAAGTTGGATTAGTAATACTCATATCTGACCAAAAAAAATAATAATAATAAAATAAAATAACAACTTTAAAATGAAGGCAATCACAAGAGACAACAAAGGTCACTACACAATACTAAAGGGATCTATCCAACAAGAGGATATAACCCTGGTAAACAAATATGCACCCAATAGAGAAGCAACTAAATATATAAGTGCACACGGATCATTCACAAAGATAGACCACTTGTTAGGACACAAAATAAGTCTCTACAAGTTCAAGAATATTGAAATCATATCAAGCATCTTCTCAGATCACAGTGGAATGAAATTAGAAATCAACTAGAGTAAAAACACCCCAAAAAATTCCAACACATGGAGGCTAAATAGCATGTTACTAAACAATGAATGGGTTGTGAAGAGATCAAGAAGGAATAAAAAACTTCCTGCAAACAAATGAAAATGAACACACAACAACCCCAAATCTCTGGGACATAGCAAATGCAGCCCTGAAATGGAAGTTCATAGCACTACAGGCATACCTCAAAAAACAAGAAAAATCAGCAATATATTATTTTACACTATAACTTAAAGAACTAGAAAGAGAACAACAAAAAAATCCCATAGTTAGTAGAAGAAAGGAAATAATAAAGATTAGAGCAGAAATAAATGACATAGTGACTAAAAAAATCAATAAAACCAAGAGCTGGTTCCTTGAATGAATAAACAACATTGATAAGCCATTAGCTAAACTCATTAAAACAAACAAACACATACACACACACACACACACACACACACACACACACACACACACACAAAGAGAAAGAACCCAAATATATAAAATCAGAAATGAACGTGGAGGAGTAACCTCTGATACCACAGAAATACAAAGGATTATAAGAAAATACTATGAACAACTATATGCCAACAAGCTGGACAATGTGGATGAAATAGTCAAATTTCTAGAAATACGCAATCTCCCAAAACTGAATCAGAAAGAATAAAAAAAAAACTTGAATAGGCCAATAATAATTTATGAAATAGAAGCAGTAATCAAAAACCTCCTACCAAACAAAAGCCTAGGTGTGGAAGGCTTCACAGGGAAGTTTTACCATAAGAAGAACTAACTCCTATACTCCTCAAACTATTTCAGAAAATCCAAGAGCAACTGAAGCCGGTTTGGCTCAGTGGTAGAGCGTCGGTCTGCGGACTGAAAGGTCCCAGGTTCGATTCCTGTCAAGGGCATGTACATTGGTTGCGGGCACATCCCCAGTAGGGGGTGTGCAAGAGGCAGCTGGCCGATGTTTCTCTTTCATCGACGACGTTTCTAACTCTCTATCTCTCTCCCTTTCTCTCTGTTAAAAATCAATAAAATATATTTAAAAAGAAAGAAAGAAAGAAAGAAAATCCAAGAGCAAGGAACACTTCCAAACTATTTTTGTGAGGACAGTATTATCTTAATTCCAAAACCAGATAAAGACACTACAAAGAAAGAGAATTACAGGCTAATATCCCTAATGAACATGGGTGCTAAAATCCTCAACAAAATATTAGCAAATTGCATCCAGCAATATATTAAAAAGATCATACACCATGAAGAAGTGGGATTTATTCCCGGGATGCAAGGCTGGTATAATATTCTCAAATCAATAAATGTGTTATATCACATGAACAAGTTAAGTGACAAAATCACATGATTATATCAATAGATGCAGAAAAAGCAACAATTTTTTATAAAAACTCTCAGCAAGCCCCAACCAGTTTGGCTCAGCGGATATAGCATCGGCTGGGGACTCAAGGGTCCCAGGTTTGATTCTGGTCAAGGGCATATGCCTGGGTTGTGGGCTCAGTCCAATGTGTAAGAGGCAACCAATCAATGATTCCTTCTCATCATTGACGTTTCTATCTCTCACTTCCTCTCCTTTCCTCTATGAAATAAATAAAAATATATTTTTACAAAACTCTCAGCGAAATGGGAATAGAGGGAGCATATCTCAACGTGATAAATATCATATATGACAAACCTACAGCCAACATCATACTCAATGGGCAAAAACCAAATCCATTTCTCTTAAGAACAGGAAAAAGACAGGGATGTCCACTTTCACTGCTCCTGTTTGACATAGTACTGGAAGTGCTAGCCATAATGATCAGACAAGAAGAAATATAAGGCATCCCAATTGGAAAAGAAGTAGTAAAACTGTCATTCACAGATGACATTATATTGTACTTAAAAAAACCCAAAGACTCCATAAAAAAACTACTAGACTTAATAAATGAATTCAACAATGTAGCAGGATACAAAACTAACACTCAGAAATCTATGGCTTTTTTTATACACTGATAATGAACTCACATAAAGAAAAACAATCCCATTTACTATTGCAACAACAAAATAATTAAGATGCCTAGGAATAAAATTAACTAAGGAGGTAAAAGACCTGTACTTGGAAAACTATAGCACGTTGAAAAAAGACAGAAGAAGACATAAACAAATAGAAGAATATACTATGTTCATGGATTGGTGGAATCAATGTCATTAAAATGTCCATAATATCCAAAGCAATCTATAGTTTCAATCCAATCCCTAGAACAAACTTTCCAATAATTCATATGACATAAAGAAGAACAATGTTGGAGGGATCACAATACCAGATATCAAGCTATACTACAAAGTCACTGTTCTCAAAACTGTCTGATACTGGCACAAGAACAGACATATAGATCAATGGAACAGAACAGAGAACCCAGAAATTGACCCAAACCATTATGCTCAATTAATATTTGACAAAGGAGGCAAGAGCATACAATGGAGTCGAGAGAGTCTCTTCAATAAATGGTGTTGGGAAAATTGGACAGAAACATGCAAAAAAATGAAACTAGACCACCAACTTACACCATACACAAAAAATAAACTCAAAATAGATAAAGGACTTAAATGTAATATAGGAAACCATAAAAATCTTAGAAGAATCCATAGGCAGCAAATATCAGACATATGTTAGAGCAATATCTTTACTGATACAGCACCTAGGACAATGGAAACTAAGGAGAAAATAAACAAATGGGACTACACAAAATAAAAAAGCTTTTGCACAGCAAAAGAAACCATCAAAAGAACAACGGGAAAGCCCACTGCATGGAAAAACATATTTGCAAATGTTATCTCTGATAAGCTTTTAATCTCCAAAATTTATAGGGAACTCATACAATTTAACAAAAGGAAGATAAATAATCCAATCAAAAAATGGGCAAAGGACCAAAATAGACACTTTTTGAAAGAGAACATTCAGAAGGCCAAGAGACATGAAAACATGCTCAAAGTCACTAATCATCCGAGAGATGCAAATCAAAATGATCATGAAGTACCATTTCACACCTGTCAGAATGGCTATCATCAACAAATCAACAAATGACAAGTGCTGGTGAGGATGCGGAGAAAAGCTACCTCTCCGTGCACTGCTGGTGGGAATGCAGACCAGTGCAGCCACTGAGGAGAACTGTATGGAGTTTCCTCAAAAAACTAAAAATAGAACTCCCATTTGACGAGCATTCCTACTGCTAGGAATATATCCAAAAAATCAGAAACACCAATCAGAAAGGATATATGCACTCCTAATGTTCATAGCACAATTTACAATAGCTAAAATTTGGAAACAGCCTAAGTGCCCATCAGCAGATGAATGTATTAAAAATGTGGTACATCTACACAATGGAATACTACGCTGCTGTAAAAAAGAAAGGGCTCTTACCATTTGCAACAGCATAGATGGATCTGGAGAGCATTATGCTAAGTGAAATAAGCTAGTCAAGAGAAAGATAAATATCACATAATCTCACTCATTTGTGGAATATAATAAACAACATATACTGATGAACAAAAATAGAGCTAGAGAAAAAATACTTTAGAATATAATTGAAGTAACCCTGTTATTTGCAGATTTTTAATATTTACTACAACTTTTGTCATATTATATTATGTAAGTACAGTTTTGGTAATATTATATTTAAAATATTTTTTCTATAAATGTTGTTTATTGCATGTACTATATTTAAAATCGTTTTTCTTGAGATAAAAAAATGAATATTTTTCCAAATAAAACCATCATTCTGTTGTGGCATACAACAGTTAAATAGAGACACCTTCAATTCAGCAAAGAGTCTAGCACACATTTTGAAAAAAGGTGTGCTTTTCTATTTTACCCTAGGGGTGTTGAACTCAATCAGAGAAGGGGCCAAAATCTAAAATCCATCCTAAATCGCGGGCCGAATGGTTTACTGAACAGTCATAAACTGTCTTTGTGATGGAAACGCAGCGGAGTGCAGTGATGACAGCGCGGTGCGAGCCACATTGCAAGGCCTGGCGGGACGGATTTGGCCCGCGGGCCTTGTGTTTGACACATGTGGCTACAGAGTAAAGGAGGTTGAATCTGGTTATGAACATGACTAAAGATTCTTTGGTAGAAAATTAATCTCATTCTGTACTAGAGAAGTGATATTGTATTTGAAATTAGGGGGCAGAATAGAGAGAGAGAGAGGTCTCATGGCAAAGTCAACTTATCCACAGGGTCCATGATGATAATTTTAAGTTCCCATAGAAATATTTCAAAATTTTATTTTTTAAATTATTTTTTTTCTATTTTTAAAATTATTTTAAAGTCCTCATGTGAATACAAGGTGGGGGGGGGCAGGGAGAAAGAGAGAGAGAGAGAGAGAGAGAGAGAGAGAGAGAGAGAGAGAGACTGACTTTGATTGATTGCATTCTGTATATGCCCCAACTGGGGATCCAACCTGCAACCCAGTTATGTGCACTTACCGGGAATTGAACCAGCAATCTTTCAGTGCACTGGATAATGCTCAACTAACTGAGCTACTCTGGATGGACATAATGCTTTAATTTATTTTCTTTTTTAACATCAGGAGGAAAAAAATTGGCTATAATGATGATTAAATAATAATATATCTAACTAGATTATTTGTTCTTATATCAGTGTAATTGTAAAGTATAATTTTAAATATTTATTTATGGAAGAAGGGCCCATGAAGGCAAAACTGCCAAAAATCCACAAAAATAATATGCAGCCCTAATGTTAGGAAGCTCACTGTATTCACTAACAACAATATGTGAAGCTAGCTCTTTATATTTCAGACCATATAGAACCCAGTCCTCTGAGTATTAGCTATTGGCTGATGTGAAAATTAGAAAGTCCAGTGAATGGCTATTGGAGCTGTCTGCCAGCAGCTGACCAGGCTCCCAGACTCAGTCTGAGGGTGGATCCTGGCCTATTTGTATGCAGCCTTCTTTTTCTCAACAATTAAGAGGCCAAAAGGAAAGATGGGCAGTACTAAGATACCACAGCTTGATGTTTTCCCTTAGTTGTGGCCTTCCTTTGGGCAGAAGGTAAAAACAGAAGTCCCTAGGAATGATGCTTTATTCTCCTAGTGGCAGACACATCCTCAGTATACTGCCCTATTTTCTTCAGTAGCTAAAATCTGGTACACTAGTGTGTGTTTTTTTTTTTTTTAATATAATTTTATTTATTTCAGAGAGGAAAGGATACAGGGAGAGAAATAGAAACAACAATGATGAGAATCATTGATCGGCTGCCTCCTGCATACCCCACACTGGGGATTGAGCCCACAACCCAGACACGTGCCCTGATCAGGAATTGAACCATGACCTCCTAGTTGATAGGTCAACCCTCAACCACTTTGCAACACCAGCTAGGCTGGTGCTTAAGTTTTTAGCTGCATAAATTCTAGAATATTAGTGATATTTCTCATTCTTCATGGTAGGTTAAAACTTAGTTGTTATTGAATCCAGTTCCCTCATTTTTTTATTCACCGGAGGATATGTTTTTATTGATTTTTCTTTTTAGAGAGGGAGACACACACAGAGAGAAACATTGATGTGAGAGAGAAACATTGATTGGTTGCCTCCCATATGTTCCCCAACCAGAGATTGAACCCGCAATCTAGGTATGTGCCCTGACTGGGAATCTAATTTGCAACCTTTCGGTTTATGGGACAACACTCCAACCCACTGAGTCACACTGGCCAGGGCTCCAGTTCCTTCATTTTATCTAAAAGAAAGCTGAAATCCAAAGGGAAAGGTGACTTATCTAAGGTCACAATTCATATTGGTGCCACAGCCAGGAATAGAGGCAACTTTCTCTCTAAGGGAAAATAATATATTCATCTAGTACCAATTTATAGATTCATAATGTTGTTAATTTCCAAAGATAATTTCTACTCCGTGGCATATTATACATATTTTAACAGATCAAGATATCCTACGAAAACTGGAGAAGGAGAAGATTCTTGTCTTCACACCATCCCGAAGGGTCCAAGGCAGGAGAGTTGTCTGCTACGATGACCGATTCATAGTCAAACTGGCTTTTGATTCCGATGGCATCATTGTATCCAATGATAACTATCGAGACCTTCAAGTTGAAAAGCCAGAATGGAAGAAGTTTATAGAAGAGCGATTGCTGATGTATTCTTTTGTGAATGACAAGTATGTTTCCTTCCTGTAGACTTTGAATAGCCTAAATCCAAGTTACCACTAGGAATAGATTTCATTTCATATCAGTAAACATTTACTGAACACTTATTGTGTACCATGCATTATGCTGGCTGACATGGGGATAAAATGCTGGATAAGAAACAAAACTTACCCTTAACAAGAGACAACCATAGTATGTTGTGATAAGTGCTATGGTTACAATTTTTAAATTGTTTTATCTATGTGAAACAATAGGAAAAGGCTTCACAGAGATGACATTTGAGCTGAAGTTTACAGATAGAGGAGAGGGGGCTGCTGGGCCTTACAGGTAAAGGAGACATCATGAATAAAGCTCTAAAGGTGTGGAAGTGGGTTACATGTTGAGGAAAACCACAGGCATACTAGTTTGGCTGGGACATATAGTCCATGACAGATTTATATACAGGAAAAATCATTTTATTGTGATCAAGGGGGAACAGAGAGAAAAAATGCTGGCTTAGCAAAAGATAGAGTTGAGACGGGAAGGGCAATTACGAGGCTGTGACAATAGTAATGAAGATATAAACTTCTGATAAGGAGTATTGGGAACAGAAGGGAAGACATTTATCTCTTGCTTGCTTTCAGATTTATGCCTCCAGATGATCCTTTAGGGCGCCATGGCCCAAGCCTTGAAAATTTCTTAAGAAAGAGACCTGTTGTTCCTGAACACAAGAAGCAACCATGCCCTTATGGTGAGTACCTTATGTGCAAAACTGAGTTCTGTACTAAGGAAAGCATAAGGACTCTGTGTATACTTTCTCTTCAAGATTTCCCTTTCCAATGGAAAATTCTGGCTTGTCTACTTTCTGTGAGTTAAAGTCTTGTCTTCATGTATTTTCATTTAGGTATTTAAAGAAACATCCTAGAAACTGCATGAGAAAAGGATAACTATAATTGAAAAGATTAGTTGTTGCTTGTTAAAATTAGTTGTTATGTACTTGTGTTGTAGCTGCCTCTGTTCTGAGCAGTGTTGCTGGGGCAGGGAAATGCAGAACCCCACAGGGCTTACAGAAGCAGAAAGGACAATGCCAAATTGGGTTTTGCCCCAAGAAAGATATCTCTCAGGCAGGTGATTGCACCCTCTGTCAACTAACAACTTCTCTTCAGATCTGTACTTTCCAATTTGCTTCTAAACTTTAGTTTCATTTACTTTTTGAAAATACAGATTTATAGAGTCCTTTAATGATCTTCCTCAAGTTCCTCTGTTACAAAGTTTGTGAGCTTAACAGTGCAACATGGGCTGCCTGGTCTGAGGCTACTTCGGATGTTCAGTCTTTCGGGGTTAATCATTTGTTTATGAACATCTGGGTTTTTGTCCTCAATTAACATTTATTTAAATCAGAATAGTTTCATGTTCATTATCTTCATTTAATCTTTACAATAACCCTATAATATAGGAATAATTGCAAACCTTGTTTACAGAAGAGGAAACTGAGGCTCAGGAAATAGTCACTCCCCAAGGTCACGTGGCTAGTAAGAGACATAGCTGGAATTGAAACTCAACTCTGACTGGCCTCCAAGCTTGTGCTCTTTGCATTGCACCATACTGCCTGCTACTGCTCTACACCACTTCAGCACATAGGTTATGCCTAGGCAAAGTTGTGAATTATAGGAAAATGAAGGCTGTTCAACTGCTTAGCTCCTAGCTTTCACACTGCAGTTTCCTCCCCAGCTTTCTTCTTCTTCTCTCTCCCCTCACAGTGTGTGATGCCTCCTTGGTGTTGTCTGTCTCTCATCTTTATGGAAAGTTACTTTTTGCCTTAACTCCAAACAGTAAAACTCTAACCTGAGTGACCAGATTGTTACGACAGTTTCTGGCACAGAGAGTCACTCCACTATGAGAGAGGTCTTACCCCAAGGCATTATTTTTCAGGCAAAAAATGCACCTACGGCCACAAGTGCAAATACTACCATCCGGAGCGGGCCAACCAACCCCAGCGTTCGGTGGCTGATGAGCTCCGCATCAGTGCCAAACTATCCACAGTGAAAACTATGAGCGAAGGCACCCTGGCCAAATGTGGTACAGGGTTGTCTAGTGCCAAAAGTGAGATAACCTCAGAAGTCAAGCGTGTGGCCCCTAAGCGCCAATCAGATCCCAGCATCCGATCGGTGGCTGTGGAACCTGAGGAATGGCTGTCCATTTCCCGTAAGCCTGAGGCCAGTTCTGTACCCTCACTTGTGACCGCCCTAAGTGTCCCCACAATCCCACCTCCCAAAAGCCATGCAGTGGGTGCACTCAACACTCGTTCGGCCAGTAGCCCAGTGCCAGGATCCTCTCATTTCCCCCACCAGAAGTCTTCACTGGAGCATATGGCCAGCATGCAGTACCCCCCAATCCTGGTTACCAACAGCCATGGGACCCCTATTAGTTATGCCGAGCAATACCCAAAGTATGAGTCCTTGGGGGACCATGGCTACTATTCAATGTTAGGTGACTTCTCCAAAATGAACATCAACAGCATGCATAATCGAGAGTACTACATGGCTGAAGCAGACTCGGGGATGTATGCCAGGAATCCCAACCTCTGTCCAGACAGCCGTATGAGCCATACCAGGAATGACAACTATTCCTCTTACAACAACCTGTACTTGGCTGATGCCCATCCTGAGGGCAGTTTGAAGCTGCATCGCTCAGCATCTCAAAACCGTCTTCAGCCTTTTTCTCATGGTTACCATGAAGCCTTAATGCGAGTGCAGAGCTATGGCCCAGAGGATTCTAAGCAAGCCCCCCACAAGCAGTCGGTCCCCCACTTGGTTCTGCATGCCCAGCACCCAGCAACTGGAGCACGATCTAGCTGTCCTGGAGACTACTCCATGCCTCATAATATCCATCCTGGGGCAACCTCCCAGCCAGGACGTGCCCTGGTGATGACTCGGATGGACAGCATTTCTGACTCACGCCTCTATGAGAGCAACCCCATGAGGCAAAGACGACCTCCTCTGTGCCGGGAACAACATGCCAGCTGGGACCCACTGCCTTGTACAACTGACTCTTATGGCTACCATTCCTATCCCTTGAGTAACAACCTCATGCAGCCATGCTATGAACCAGTGATGGTACGGAGCGTGCCTGAAAAGATGGAGCAGCTTTGGAGGAATCCTTGGGTTGGAATGTGCAATGATTCCAGGGAGCATATGATCCCAGAGCACCAGTATCAGACCTACAAGAACCTCTGCAATATTTTCCCTTCCAACGTCGTTCTTGCAGTGATGGAGAAGAATCCTCATACAGCAGATGCCCAGCAGCTGGCAGCCTTGATTGTTTCTAAGCTTAGGGCTGCACGTTGACATGACATAGCATCTATTCCTTCATACAAATAATATTAATACTAATAATGCACTAATACTGTGGTAACAAACTAATAATTGTGTGTTGCGCTTTAAAAGTTGCAGACTGTTAATGTCATTGAAGCACATAACAACCCTGTGAGATAAGTTTTACTAATGTGTGTTTCCTAGACAAGGAAACTGAAGCTCAGTCAGATTAAATTATTTGCCAAGTTCACACTACTAGCAAATGACCAAATCAGGACTCACACCCAAGTCCTCTGATTCCAAGTCTCATACTCTTTTGCACTGCACTATGCAGGTAATGGAGGATAAAACCCAGAGGGAGAGGCCCAAGTATAAGAAACCCAAGAGATTCCATTATGAACGTTATAATAGTTACACATTTTATATTACAAAGTACTGATGACATATCTAATTTAGAGAACATCAAGATCAGGTCATATGTTGAATTAACCTTTTAGAATTCTTAATAGGAATATTTAAAGCTATTTAAAAGCAAATGCATACTTTATTGCATGGATATTTGACCATTTAATATCTTTATTAACCAAGCTATAGAGTCACATCAAAGCTTCTAGAGCTATATTTCAAAACTACTGCTAGGAATTATATTGCATGAATGACTGTATGCATTTAGTTTGAAATGTGTGCATATCTCTGTATAACTTTTTATATAGTGATAAGATAGGCTCTGCACAATCCTTAGTCTACAGCTAAACAAATCAAAATCTGAGTTGATAATTTTATGTCATATTTCATACTTTCAACTCATTTTTAAAATGAAATTACATGCCAATATTTGAACATTGTTTTCTTAGGTAACAGAGCAAACTATTTCCTTTGCACTTTTTTACTTATCAACATTTATTAACAGTTGTTAGTTTTAAGTCTCTTCACCTCAGCAATTTAGGGATCATATTGCTGCTATCTCCTGCAGAATAGTTGATTGATAAGCTCAAGTTTCAAGCATAGTAGGTGTGTGCTAGACAAGCACAGAAGAGTTTGACCAGGGCCAAGGAATTTACTACCAGAAAGATGGCCAAACTTATGCGGCATTATATGATGAACAAAAAGCTGCACTCAAGAAGGGTCTTGGATTTCTTGATGAGCTTTGGACTTCTGATCTATGCAGTATTCAACATCACAGAATGGAATGTAATGGAGGACAGTGCACAGACATGTAATCCACTTTCTCCTGCTGTCCACCCTTTGGGCAATAAAGCCGAACATTAGTAGAGCAGAATTTCTTTAGGAAACAAAACCAGGGGATTTTCTAGATAGAAAAAGGTAGCTTCCAACAGAGGATGCTACATTTTTTCTAATAGCTGGCTGGCTCAGTTATGCACTTCAAATACATGCCAAGAGAGTAAACTTGCCCTTTGATAACTCTTAGATGCATTACTAAAGAAGGCAGGACTTTGGGTTGAGTGGCATCATTTGCACAACTTGTTATCTTGCTCAGGGTGGGAACCTTTATAGCTAAATGCCTCTAGAAGAGGCATTTGTAGTTTTTCCTTTTTTAAAGTTGTAGTAAATGAACCCCCTTTTGAATCTATTGTATAGTTCAGCATTTTGAACCAGGACCAGCTCACTATTTCGTGAGCCAGAATTTGATAATTTCTATGGTCATTTTTTCATAAAAGTTAAGAAGGCCTGGCCTTGGCCTTTTGTTTCTTCATGAGAAAGTGTGACACTGCCTATAAATGTTTCTTACTCTGAAACACTCCGAATGTGAGGCTGTAGTCAGGGTTGTTTCTGGTGGTTTGATAATGGCTTGCCTACTCTTTATTGGCTCTCCATATCTGTCCTAGTTGATCAAAACTGTACATCAACAAATGTTTCCCTTCTGTTAACCATAGCTTCACATTTATGTCCTACCCTCTGATTTTTCCATCCCCCAGCATATTGAGGTGTAAAAGTATTTTCTATCATGTAGGTCCATAGAGAGTAACAGCTGCCACTGAAGTGCTTCCTATTTCACACAAACACCATTTCATACTTTCAACTTCTCGCATCTTCTAAATCTGTCCTAAATCAGGGTATTTGACAATCTTAGAGGACTCTATTGCCTTTGTGCCAGTTAATTCATCTTCCTACCCAAATCATCAATGGCACCAGTGTCTACCACCTGCACAATTTACCAGGAAGCACAAGATTAATCTTGTCAGTTACAATTCATCTTGAACATGTTCATGTTTAGTACTCAAAAAAGTATAAGCTCCTCCCAATGCAGAAAATATTTTTAAGGTAGAATATATATTTCTTATTTCCTAAAAACAATTGTCATTCTCTTTTCAGAAAATGTGTATGAACCAAAGCTGCTAGGAGCAATGCCTAAATAACCAGAAATGACCTTTTGTTGATACAAATTGTATCTCTTTTTTTCCTGATTGTATAGTAACAAATGTACAAAACTCATCTTAAACTAGGTTTGGTACTGATTTTCACCATGATGTTTGTGGCACTGTGTGTCACAAGGAAGTAGCCCAGGAGACATGAGAGAGCTTTTATTTCCAAATGGCAGTAGTAGTTCATAGATAAAGACAGTTTATCAAGGCCTCTTTATTACTATGTGCACATTGTATATACAGTTTCAAGCATTATATTGCAATAAATTCTCCTTAGCCTATTAAATTTAATATGTCCTTGCAAAAGGAATTTTGTATATCAACTGTAAGTGTTAGTGAGTCATTTGCAGGAATTGGTAAGTAGAGCTATACAATTATGAATACATAAATCCAGCTTGTTTCTTAATGAAGTTATTAGAGAAACATTTTCTTTACATGGAGGCCTGCACACTTCTTGACTTTTCCATTGTGTCTGCTATTATAAAACAGCAAATACAAAGAAGCATTGGAACCTACTTGGCTTCCTTGATAATGAAATCAAGCTTTCTTTATGAACCTAAGTGGGTGTCCTTCAGGATATTTACCTCAAAGCACTCAGCAGGGGTTACTGCACAGTGTTTTGTCTGGTTTTCAAGCAGTAGTACATTTTGCAAGAGGTGCTTTGCAATTTTAATTCTTCCACTGAGTTTCTGAACTCATGGAAAGTCTACGCTTGTTCAGACTTCAGATTTTGTCGATTTTGTGATTTTGTGGTTGTTATATTTTATTTCAACCTGAGGAAGTGTGACTCTGGAGTGGCATGTTCAATCCAGGGAACCTTTTCAAAGGTAGCATACAGCCACTACACTCTCTCTGAGGTGCAAGGTATGGAAGGGAGGAGGACAGATATCTTTTGGAAATGGCCTACAAACTTTTCTTCTAAGTAATTATTTCTGTCCCTTTCTCTCTCCCCCTCTCTCTGCTAGTTTCCAGGAGAATACTTCTAAATCCCATTTTTCTATTTTAGAATAAATTGTCTTTATACAATATTCAAACATTGATACCCATTAACCTTTGGCGCTGGGTTTTCCTCTAATATAAAATTCATTGGAAATACCATTATATCTATGCTATACAAATGCCCTTTTTGAGAGCCAATTTTTTTCCCTCCCTCCCTCCCTCCCTCCCTCCCTTCCTCCCTTCCTCCCTCCTTCCCTCTCTTCCTTCCTTGATACCATTATATCTATGCTATACAAATACCCTTTTTGAGGGCCAATTTCCCTCCCTCCCTCCTTTCCTTCTTTCTTGGAGATACCATTATATCTATACTATACAAATGCCCCTTTTGAGGGCCAATTTCCCTCCCTCCTTTTCTCCCTTCCTTCCAGATATGTTTTTATTAGAGAGAGAAATATTAATGTGAAAGAGAAACATCGATTAGTTGCCTCTGGTACATGCCCCAACTGGGGCTCAAAACTTCAATCTGGGTATGTGTCCTGACTGGGAATCAAACCCATGACCCTTTGGGGTACAGGGAGATGCTCCAACCAACTGAGCCACACTGGCCAGGGCTGAGGGCCAATTTTAATACACTTTGTTTTACTCTGTGAACCAGGTCTGGAACTACACAGGGAAAGTAATGTTAAGCTGTCCAAAGAGTCCTGCTCAGGTCTCCTGCTAACTCTTCTCTGCCTTCCCCTAGTTTGCTTCTCCTCAGGTTTGACACTGAGGAGTATATAGTCGTCAAATGAAATGACTTTAGTTCTCATTGGAAACCAAACCAGTATATTTTGGGAACCTGCGTGTCTAAAGTAGTCAATGCCTTTGAAAAGACTCAGAATGTTCAATATGTATCCATATTGTAGCTAGCTATATACATAGGCAGATTGACTATTTTCCATCCTGGTTTGTGAATCATTGAGCTATAGTAGTTTGCTTTATCTATTTGTAGGATTAAACAATACTGTTTAATGGTTGTAAACTTTTATAAAATCTCTTTGGGTTTTTTGTTTGACCCAAACATAATGTAAGTCTCAATGACAAAATATACAAAGCTAACCAGAGGTGAGTGAAAACATGTTCCATTCCATTTTGTCTGATTCTATAATGCATGTGCAATGCTTTGCAATATGTTTTTACTAGCATGAATGTGCTATGACTATGATGTTTTAATTTGTTTCACCTATAATAGTGATAGAAAATGGTGTATACTTGACAACAATGAACTGTAACCACTTATTTACTGCATAAACTATTTGACTACTAACCAGTAATGGCTTTGTTTCTTTAAGAACACGATCAAAAATCATACCACACCCATATACATACACACTCTGGTTTGCTCCTTAAAGAATTAAATTTCTGCTGAAACCGGTTTGGCTCAGTGGATAGAGTATCAGCCTGCGGACTGAAGGTTCCCAGGTTTGATTCCAGTCAAGGGCATGTACTTGGTTGCGGGCACATCCCCAGTAGGGGGTATGCAAGAGGCAGCTGATTGATGACTCTCTCTCATAGATGTTTCTAACTCTTTATCTCTCTCCTTTCCTCTCTGTAAAAAAAAATCAATAAAATATTTTTTTTTAAAAGAATTAAATTTCTGTCCTTGAAACTGCCATCTTGAGATAAGCTATAAGGAGAGGGATCTTCCCAAATTAGTTCAACTGAATTTTA